GTTTTTTAATGGAGCAATAAAATAAAAGACAGAGAGCTACATATATTAAATAAATTAATAAAGAATATATTTTTATAGTCATTGTCTATACAAAAAAAATACTTAAAATTTGTCTTGCATTTAAATCTCATGTTTTTAAATGAGATTTGTAGTCAACACTTTCCAGTATTAGCCATGTAGGCGTCGAGTTTTGGTTTGCGGAATGATTTTCAGTGGGCAGCAAAACCGTCATAAAATAAGTAAACAAACCATCACCTGCTTATTCAACAAATCCGACATTCAGGAAGTAATAAATAACTCAACTCATTTTTTTATTTTTATAAGTGACATGAACATTAAACAACAGAAATGGTTACACAAACATTAGGTTCTATTGTTCAGAATTATAAATAAATAATTCTACTACTTACATAAAATAAAAGAGACATTCGTAGTTGTCCTTGTTCAAATTACAGGAATCTGTTTTTTTGTTTGAAACGAAAGTAATTTTGATTTTTTCTTAACCTATGGATTTACGAAACTGATATTAAAAAATATAATAAAATCTAAAGTCTTCAAGTCACGGAATTGAAATAAATAAAAATAAAAGAAATTTTAATATTAAAAGTAAAAAAAAACACTTATTACCCTCAGTAATCTATATTTTTGGTGGTGGTGGTGTTCCTTTGTAATTTTTGATTTTTCCTAGGAGTTACGAAATTGAAAACAAAAAATATTGGTAATAAAATCTAAAATAAAAAAATAAAGTGACACTCGCCGATATCTGTGTGTAAGCTTTGTTCTGATTACAGGAATCTGTTTTTTTAAAACTAAAGTCATATTTTTTGCGAGTAATTTTTGATTTTTTCTTAAGTTATAGACCTGGGAAGCTGAAATAAATAAAACGAATTGTAATTTAAAAAAGTAAAGAAGGGGTGAGTGGATAAAGGTGTTATGTAACATTTTTTTTGAAAACTGGTATTTTCTTTTAAAACAATTTTTTTCGAAATATTCTTTTATTGAAAAAGACTTTTAAGTGTTGGTTTCTATTAGGAATGAAATTACCAAATGCTAAAGGCGTTATGTACAACTTGGATTGTTGAATAAACAGTGGATATAAATTATAATAAATAAATGTTTAAAAAATAACACTATTTTTACTTTCCGACGTATTCTTGACAAAATTTTGCGAAATAATTGCGTTTTTTATTTAAAACGCTCGAAAAGAGCATAAATTATGTCTTTTTTATTCTGTCTGGTTTGTTTTTTAACAAAAATTAAAGAAAATACTTTGTTTTAGACTTAAAAACGCAACTAAATGTTTGAAAAAAGCAAAAATAAGATAATTTTTGAATTAATTATGTGGTTTTTCGGCTTATTTTTGCCGAAGTTTTGTGCTTTTGATTGAAAAATCTGCTAAAACGTTTGAAAAAGCAACCAGATGATTTTTCGGCTCAAAAACATGCTTAAACTCTCCAAAGAAGCAAAAATAATTTTAGTTTCGTGATAGTTTACCTCATTTTCGATGAAAATTTTCAAAACGATTGCGATTTTGACTAAAAAACGTCTTAAAACGGAAAAATAGTATTATGTTTGAACAAATTTTTTAGCACAATCTAAAAGTAAAAATAACACCATTTTTGAGTAAATTTAGTGATTTGTGACGAAGTAAATTTTTAATTGAAAAACCTTCTAAAACGTCCAAAAAATCATAAATAAGGAAAGTAAAAAGGTCATTTTCAACCCAATTTGGTAATTTTTCAATATGTTTTAACATAATCTTACAAAAAAACGTGATGTAAACAAGCAAAATTCATTATTTTTTACTTAATTTGGTGACTTTTCGGTATATTTTTGTCTAAATATTTTGAGATAATTCCGTCTCTTATTGAAAAATATGGTGTTAATATGGAAAACCGTTTTCGAAAAGTCGATGAACTAGTTTCAAAATTACATCTAGTAAACAAGAAAAAAAATCTTTTAAATGAGAATGTTAATTTTCGGGACAGCATAAAGTGGACTTTTTATATTGTGTCGTTAGAATTTCATTTATAAATGTTTTGTTAAACTTGAAATATTTTTATAAAGCAATAGTTATCACAGAGATTATATTAGAAAATAAAGCTTTTTTTTTGGGTACATAACACTTTAATCAATTTTTTAATAATATAAACTAATGCATTATAGTGTATGAAAGGGTCATTTACATTTGAGCGTTAAAAAATCTATAAAAAAATATAATTACCTAAATTTTCTTATAACAAGGAAACAATATTCACATAGGCCTTTATACTATATCATGTGATTTTGTTTACCAAAAATAAATTGGAAAAAAGTACCAGCAAATTATACAGGGTGCGCCAGAACTCGCGCCCCAGAGAAAAATGCCATATAAGGTAACATGGAAAAAATGAGGGTTTAAAGTTTGCACTTTGACTTTATTTATTTCTGTTGGAAAAATAATTTTTCAAGTTTTTTGCTATAGGCTATTAAAAGAGAAAACAAGGAAGCTGTATCCTAAATTTTAACTCTGTTCAATGTTATTTGTGGATTTTATTGTCAAAATTTTTGTCCCTTTACTAAATAATTGTAAAAAAACATATACAAGATCATCAGTATCATTAAATAGATAAAAAAATGTCAAATGTCAAAAATTTTTGACAGATAGAATTTTTTAAACATTATTT